ATCGAACATAAATCACTAATAATAATATAGCAAATACCTAAGATGTTTAAAAATGTTATACTAATCACATCGAACATAAATCACTAATAATAATATAGCGAATACCTAAGATGTTTAAAAATGTTATACTAATCACATCGAACATAAATCACTAATAATAATATAGCGAATACCTAAGATGTTTAAAAATGCTATACTAAGCACATTGAACATAAATCATTAATAATAATATAGCGAATACCTAAGATGTTTAAAAATGCTATACTAATCACATCTTTAAAAGAGATTAAGTATAAGACACGATTCTTTTTAAACCCCGTACAATTCTATAAAGCTATTTCTAATATAAATTTTCGTTTATGGAATTTATAAAATCGTACATCAGTTTTTTAGTTTGGATAATTTCTTCTGAAATGTTTTTTAAACAGTTAATAAACACATAAAAAACAATATTCTGATTTACGTTTAGTTTCTTACTAGTTTTGTTGTGGTATCTGCGAAACTTAGATTCAGGAAATGGAATGCATAAAATCAATCGAACAAAGAATGAAAAGAAAAACAAAACAAACAAGCACAAGTTAACAAATAATTAAAATCTGTAAATAATTAATAATTAAAAGTGTAACTTACAACTTTCCGCTATGAATTTTATTGACTGTTGAGGTGGAGTTCTTTCAAGACAAAAGAAACAAGAAACCTGTGTGAATGTCCCACTTTTATATTCAGACAAAAGCCTTAGTGCAGTATCCCACAAATTATTAGGTTACTACATACACAAACTATCTAAAACCAGTTTGTGCTGTTTTCTGTATAGTCTATGTGAATAAAATACTGTATTAGAATGTTTGTTTGAAGTTAAGCACAAAGCTACACAATGGGCTATATGTGCTCTGCCCACCACGGGTATCGAAACCCAAACTATAGAGTTATGGTAAAACAAAACAACTTAAAAAGTATTATTGGTTACAGTTAAAAGTGCAATCATCTAGTGTTCTGTATTTCAGTAAAACTCACACCTAAGTTGTTATTCACAAGAAATATGTTGAATTTTTATATTGAACAAAGTATACATTCAGCCAGGATAATTCTAAAGGGAAGATATTATAAAAATATTAAACCTACTGACTCTCACAAAGTTTTTTATAAGTAACATTTAAATTAATGCCTACGTGTAAGTGGCTTTCTCTCTTTCTGATTTGTTAACAAGTCGTCACTTTCACAGCACATCTGAGAAAAACAAATATCGCTTAATCTCCAAAATTGAAAAAGAAATATTTTTCATTGCGTAGTCCAGAGTGAAATGTCATCACGTCTCAGTTTTTACGAGAAAAGTAGCAGCAAATTAAAACCATCAATTTATACACATAAGAAACTATTCAATAATGAATCTACAAACACCTTTTTTTTTTCTGGCATTCTACTGAGCAAGACTTCCACAGCACCTCATCTAATGTATCTTGAACATTTGAAAACGACAGATGATTTCTATACCAGCATTGCTAAATCGTAATAACATAAGTGATGATTGTTATTGTCTGAATGGATGAATAACACGAACTTAAAATGTGTGAAAATGATAATTAAGAATTGGTTGGGCTCCAGGCTGTGTGTAATTAACTCTTACTCAAATGCAGCATTTCTAAAAATACGTCAGCATGCATTTACTTTCTTAATCAAAAACAGCAAACTTGATTGATTTCGTTCGACTAATTAAATTGTGTGAAGCTCTCTAACTTTAACAGACTGACACACATATTCAGACATACTTATGTCTTCGTCCTTGAAATATATGGATCTGTCGTGTTAAGATAAAAGTATGGTGGGGCGTATAGTTAGTTCCCAGACTTGTTGGATAGCCAGTATTATTTAGAAACGCAAGGAACGTCTATTAGTGATTCCTTTAGTATAGTGTCATTTCTTGAAGGTTTCTGTTGTTATTGGCAATCCACCAATCATAGTTCTTGTTATTTATATATTTAAACATATAACCCTTTAGTGTAAATCCTGAACTTTAACACTGTTTGACTAGTTTGTTCTAATTTTGATACACAAACTCTCTATTAATAGTGAAAACACGTGACGTCAAGGGAACCACTGGTCATGTGCAGTCTGGGAGAAAGTATAAAGTCTTGTAGGTTGTGGAAACTTTATTATGTTACTTAGAAGACGAAAGAGAAGCGAAAATTTTGATCATGAAGTTTCTGACACTAACACTGATTACGCTCTGTTTCATCACTTTTTCAGCAGCATATCTGTTCAGAGAAATAGTGGAGAAGAAAAATGGTAAGGACTATTCCGTGTACAATATGAAGAAAAATAACCTTTGATATGTTTTATTATTCTCTAGTTATAAGTATACATACAGGTTTATTGAACATACTCTGGTAATAAGCAGGGATTGTTTCATACTAGAAGCGTATTAACCACTTTCTGGTAACTAACAGGGACTATTTCATAGTAATAGCGTATTAACCGCCTTCTGGTAATAAGCAGGGACTATTTCATACTGGAAGCGTTTTAACTACCTTCTGGTAATAAGCAGGGACTATTTCATAGTAATAGCGTATTAGCCGCCTTCAGGTAATAAGGAGAAAATATTTCACACTGGTAACGTATTAAACACATTCTGGTAATAAGCACGGACTATTTCACACTGGTAGCGTATTAAATACATTCTAGTAATAAGCACGGACTATTTTACACTGGTAACGTATTAAATACATTCTAGTAATAAGCACGGACTATTTCACGCTGGTAACGTATTAAACACATTCTGGTAAAAAGCACGGACTATTTCACACTGGTAGCGTATTAAATACATTCTGGTAATAAGCACGGACTATTTCACGCTGGTAGCGTATTAAACATATTCTGGTAATAAGCACGGACTATTTCACACTGGTAGCGTACTAAACACATTCTAGTAATAAGCAACTGAGTTATTCATAGTTTTAGTCCATTCATAACACAAAGCTTACAAGAATTTATACTGCATATGTATATAAGAAAATTAATACCATTGGTGTAAAAACATCTGTTTGTTGCATTCTGTGTCGTTACTGTTTCATATTATATTGTTGGTTTTATTGATGCAACATTGTTTATAATAGATATTAAAGGTTTAATTTTTAAAATTTTGATTTTTTACAGGTGGTTGCTACCTCCCTGATTTTGGACAGATTGAAAATAAAGGTGTGGTGTATAACGACGAGAAATGTGAGATTCGTGTCTGTGATGCAGATGGAGATGAAGCTTTTATTAATGGAGCAGGGTATCTGAATTGTCTCTATTTTAAAGTTTAAAATACTGTTTTCTAAATGTAAAGTTCAAGAAATCTAAGTCTATACAATAGCTGTAATTTCGATTTTAACACATTAGAAGTAGAATATTACCTACGTAACAACGTGGATTGGGCTAAATTATCAGTAAGAAAATAAAGCATATTTAGCATTAACCAATGAAGTGTCATAAAAAAAGTTTATTCTGATTCTTCACTGATCTTTCACCGATAATGTACTTTAGGGCTGAAGTAAAATGTGGTGCCATTTTCTCTAATAAAGATGAATTTGTAATTATGGCAAACTTATTAGGGCTGTCTAACTTTAACTACTGACCAGTGGAAAGGCAGCCAGTCAGCAAAATCCTACTACGCTAAGGGACTGATTGTTACTCTTATAACGTATCCATAACTTAAGGTGCGGGGAATATTTTACAGTAGCGCACGGATTCAAACTATTTTCGACAGCTCCGAAATCCAGAGCCAATTCCTGGATTTGAAGTGGGTTTAAGGTTATTTTGTCCGTAAGGTCTTGCAAAGCTCTATCTCAGGACGAATTAAAGATAAATAAATAATTTCCAGGGTTGGTCTGTAGAAAGAATAGGACATTTAGGTCTACGTTATGTTTTATAACGTCTTGATATAATAATTGCAATAATCTCAAACCCGGTGTGTATACTTATTTACAGATAGATAGATGGATAAATTAGAATTATTACGTGTTTTGAAATAAAAATATTTTCTGTTTTGATATTCGTCCCATTTTTTGATTTTAATTATTTTACGTATCAGAGTTCAACTGACTGTGTCCTTAAACTATAATACTGTAATTATTCATATTGTATTACTATTATGATTTCGTAATTGCATTTATTTATTCTGAAGTATTTATCAACTAAAAATATTGTTTTTTGATTTTATTTACTTATTTTATTTTTTATTTGAATACGTAAAAATATGACCTAAAACTGTAATTATCAGAAATTAGGCTTATGTTTTATCTTTAATTTTACCTTAACGCGAAATATACTTACAGAGAGAGAGAGAAAAGCGTGTGGGATTACAGTGAAAAAAACAAACAAACAACAACAACAACCTGTAATAACCTATCAATATACTTGGAAAATGGATTGATATTACCTTCTTGTTTTCAGGTGTGGTGTTATTGGAATAGACGATCCAAACTGTAAGCTGGTACCTGGAGAAGGACATTACCCGTCTTGCTGCCCTGCTCCAATATGCAAGAAACCGGATAACAAATAAATAACGGCGGTTGAAATTTTGGTTTTTCGTTTTCATTGATTTCCAGCGTGTAAGAGGAGACAGAAGAAATGTGATGACAATTTGTAACCGTCTGAAATAACTGATTGTAATGAAGCAGAAACTAACTGTTAACTAAGAGATCTCGAAATATAACATTTGTATCGAAATCATTCATTGATTTGCCACTCCTCCACAGTGGCTCAGGGTTAAGCTGGATGGCTTATAATGATAAAAATAGGGTTTCGATACCTGCAGTGGCCACAGCACAGATAAGCAATTGTGTAGCTTTCTGCTTAACTACAAGCAACAAACAAAATCGTTTGATTTATACAAAAACAAGACATGCCAGTATTTTTTGGTTCTAAGCTATGACTACAATTTGTTGGTCATATTCTCTAAACCTAAATATTGATTACATTTTGTATAATTAATTTACATATACGTCTAAAAATAGAATAATAGTAATAAATGACTGAACAACGACATTGCTTCATTGGACGTCCAATCAGATTTTTGACTTATTGAAAGTTTAACTTTAAGTCTGGGTACTGCTTATTAACACAAATGGCCAGTAACTGTGTTGTTATCTATGTGTATATATTACCCTGTATTGAACCGTTATGATATCGTGATGATTGTTGTATTCATTTATATTAAAAAAACAAACCATTTATTCTGAATTACTTCACTTTCATAAAACTAAGTGAGACACGGTTTGAGAAATAATAATAAAAAAAAAACAAATGCGTTTTATTAAATACGTCTCATGTGTGTGAATTGTTTTATCTACTCTGAATATATCCTGTTTAGATGTTTAGGTATCTAGGTTTACCTATCTGATTACCGGTGTTGGAGGAGACATTATTAACTTTTTCGAAAAACACAGACGTAAAACATATTCTAATAAACATAAACAGACCCCCACTGGCTCAGCGGTAATTATGAAGGCTTACAACGCTAAAAGCCGGGTTTCGATACTAGTGGAAAAAAATCACAGATATTGTATAACTTTGTGTTTAACTACAAACGATCATAAATCACTAATAATAATATATCGAATACCTAAAATGCTTAAAAATGCTATACTAATCACATCGAACATAAATCATTAATAATAATATATCGAATACCTAAGATGTTTAAAAATGCTATACTAATCACATCGAACATAAATCATTAATAATAATAATATATCCAATACCTAAGATGTTTAAAAATGCTATACTAATCATATCGAACATAAATCACTAATAATAATATAGCGAATACCTAAAATGTTTAAAAATGCTATACTAATCACATCGAACATAAATCACTAATAATAATATAGTGAATACCTAAGATGTTTAAAAATGCTATACTAATCACATCGAACATAAATCACTAATAATAATATAGCAAATACCTAAGATGTTTAAAAATGTTATACTAATCACATCGAACATAAATCACTAATAATAATATAGCAAATACCTAAGATG